AGTTAGAAATTACCAGATTTGGCTTAGTATAGAATTTTAAATAAATTTTCAAATACATGGTAAAATCTGTCTCACAGTTTCAGATTTAGTTAGAAATTTTTATAAATTCGTATAAAGCTCAAAAATTGTTACCAAAATTTTCTGGATAAACTAGACATCATTATCAACAACTTTGTAGAAGAAATCATCTCGAAATTTTGAGTATAAAATTATCCAAAAATTCGAGTGACATTCTGGCAGATTCAAAATAGACTATTTTCATCACAGTTTCAGATTTAGTTAAAATTTTGTATAAATTTGTGGAAAGTTCAAAAATTGTTACCAAAATTTTCTGGATAAACTAGACATCATTATCAACAACTTTGTAGAAGAAATCATCTCGAAATTTTGAGTATAAAATTATCTAAAAATTCGAGTGACATTCTGGCAGATTCAAAATAGACTATTTTCATCACAGTTTAGACAATGTATCATATGTATACAATCTGAAAATTTCAATTATGTAAAAAAAAATGAGAGGATTGAGAGGGTCTTCTTACCTAGTAGTAGGATTGAAATGGGTGATGAAATGATAGAAGAATTTGTTTCCTAAACCTTCTTCTCTTCGTCTCCTTCTGTTGAATTCTTCTTCCTATTTTTTTTTCCTCACCCGTCAAAAGGAATACATGCATGCAAACATTTAAACCTACCCTTCTATGCATGACTATTATGCGCATTATATAGACCTCCGAGGCTAGCTCTCTCTCTCTCTCCCTTTCTCTGCCATTACCTTTCTCCAAGTTCTAAGAATAAGCTTTCCCTAAATTTTATGGTTTCCTAAATTCTAAGAGATGGTGGGTTTGGTAGGAACTGTGGGTTGTTTGCCCACGGTTTGTCTGTTTGTATACATATATATATATATATATTATTTATTTAATTTTTTTTTATTTATTTTTTTTAACAATAATTATTGAACATCCACAACATTTTTATTCTTAATAAGGTCTTTGTTAGCGATAGAATTGGGTTAATTTAAAAAACTAATAATTTGATTTATTTATTTATTTTCTTTCAAGAATAATTTAAATATGGGTTTTCACACATGGCATCATTAGATCCATCGTAACTCTTATCAACATAGTTTGATATATTGACCAGTTTGGGAAGTTGGTTATTTTAGTATGTTATTTTAGTTTTTAACTATTTTAGTAGGCTAAAATAGTTTTGTTTAGGAAGAAAGTTAAATTTTTTTTAGTTGGATGTGATATTTATGAGAGAAAAAATGACCATTAAGGACAACATAGAGTGTATTCTACCCATTTAAAAATTTCATATTTAAAAATATAAAATACTATTCACACACCATCATCCTTACAGGGTTTTAACATATAAATATTTTATTTCTTCATCATTTTTACCATTAACATACACTCATAATATCATTTATTATTAATTAGCTCACTTCATTCTCTTCTCCATTTTACTGATCATTTTTCAAACTCAAAACATTATTGCCTTTGAAGATTTAGGGTTTAAAAATATTGAACTAAATTAGTTTTGAAGATTTGCACACCATGGATGACACTAAAATGGTTGGTTACGACATAAATATTGAAAGTGTTGATTTGAATATTAAAAATGTTAGTTTATGACTTTGCTTTTTGGTTTTTTATATATCTCATTCGTATGTTGAGAAGACAAGTTTGTTCGTTGTGTTCGGATAACCGTAGTTGAACTTTTACACAATATTCGATTATTTATATTTAAACAACATAACTTTATTCAAATTATTAAGAATGATCAAATATTAAATGTTCAAACATAAAAAAATGAATATTTTAAGTTAGTTCGGTTAAAATAAATTAAACTTTTATTCGTTGTTAAGATATAATTTTTTGAGGCCTCGTTTGGGAACATGCTAATTTAGTAACTTTTTAGTTATATAGCTAAAATATGAGCTAAAAAAAACTAGTATGCTTGGGATGACTTTTTGACTTTTTACGAAAAGATGTGCAAAAAGTAGAGAGAAAAAAGAATCTTTGACTTTTTGGTATGGGTTGTTGACTTTTTGAATTTTTTAATAACTTTTTGACTTTTTAGCTAAACCGGCTTATTGCCAAACGAGGCCTGAATATATCAAGTTTGTTTAACTTTGTATTCTTAAGCATGACTAATTTGATGAATTTGTTAATTTTTTTTACAAAATTCTATACCTACCCAATGTAGCAATGTTGAAATTGATTGTGAGAATGAAATTTGTGAATTAATGGTGAGAATGATAATCTGAAATGACGACGAGAGACGAGAGACGAGAGACGAGAGTTCAACACCAATAATGAAGATCAACACCGGCAAAGATGGAGGCCGAATGAAAAGTTCGTTCAACTTGTGTTTAGCTTATTTAAAGTTCATTCGAGTTCTGTTCATTAAGTAAACATGCCAAGTTTAAACATATTTTAAAACTTGTTAAAGTTTTTAAACTAGACTTGAATAGTCAATTGCTTGTTTAGCTCAGCTCAATAAACCAAAAAAACTATATAAAAAATATCAAATTACTCCAACTTGGTTTGACAAAAGCTTGTTTAAGATCGGCTTGGAAAATTTAAGGAACCAAATTTTTTTTTTTTGAAATTAGTTAAAATTTTCAAACCAAACTTGAACAGTAAGCCTCATTTATTACCGTTTTCATTTATTGTTTTCTATTTTTGTTTTCATTTTTTTTGAAAACTAAAAACGAAAACTTGTTTGCTATATTATTTTTGTTTTCGAAAAAATGAAATTGATTTCAAAGTTTTTCAAAGCACCAAAAAGTTGTTTTCACTTATTTTTAAAACATGTTTTCATTTTCTCTTCTCACTCACTACCTTTGGCCACTACTACCACTGTCAGCTACCGATTTCCCCCTCATTGCCTGTGGGTAGTGAGTTCCAGCCAACCTCCGACGACTCTTCGGTCAGTAGGCAGTCACCCTTTGGTCACATTTTGGCATCCTACCGGCCACCTCGTATCCTCCGATGACATTCGACCACTACTTTCGGCTACCTGTCACTGCCAGTCACTACATTCATCCACCTTCCATCTCCGGCTAAAAAATCTGGCAACTCACCAAATAGATTTCTCTATTTTTATTTTTATTTGTTTTAAAAATATTTTTATACACTGAACAAGTTTTCTATTTTTTGTAAGGCCTTGTTTGGGAACATGCTATTTCAGTAACTTTTTGGCATTTTGGCTAAAATATGAGATAAAAAAAACTAGTATGTTCGGGGTTATTTTTTGATTTTTTACGAAAAAATGTGCAAAAAGTAGAGAGAAAAGAGAATCTTTGATTTTTTGGTATAGGTTATAGGCTTTTTGATTTTTTTAGTAACTTTTTGGCTTTAAGGCGAAAATAACTACTTGCCAAACAAGGCGTAAAACGTTAACAAACAAAGTTTAAGTATTTACAATTTTTTAAAAATAAAAATAAAAATTAAACAAACTTTTTGTAAATATAAACGTTATTAAGAGGTTGTTTGGGATGATCTAAATAAGTGTACTTTTTGACTTTTTATGAAATATGGGTTGAGTTTGGGTTGGATTTGAAGTGATGTGTTAGAGATGTGATGTGATTTAAATAAAGGAAAATTTACCCATAAGTCCTAGTTTTTGAAACGTTGAACCATTTAGTCCTAAAAGTTTTCTTATGCTCCATTTAGTCCCATTTTTACATCAACATGATGTGAATGATGTAAATGATTTGATGTTTCATTCTATAATTTCAAAATTTATTGAAATCTGATGAATATTAGATGTTTTTCATCCTATATTTTCAAACATTATTGAAATTTGATGAACATTAGATGTTTGAAATCCAATGTTTGTAACATGACTCTGATGTTATTAACATTGTATCTGATGCTATTAACATTGTAATGGGACCTTTCAGTCTATAAGAAAACTTTTAGGACTAAACAGTGCATAAGTTATTAATTTGGGATTTATTGGTGCATCCCCCTTAAATTAATTGATGTGACTTAAATAAGATAGTGACTTTTTGATTTTTTTCAAATATGTCAAACCAACCCTAAATTGCTAATATTGCTACGTTCATCAAATTTAAAATCATCTGAATCGCTCGAATTTGTGCATGCTAATTGTCTGACTGATCATCTAGCAGATATCAGTTGACATGTTAGTTGACAAGATTGATAGTCACAGCCCGCAGTTAACAAAGGTGAAACTAATCATCTGAACAATCGTACAACTTACATAATTTAGATGATTTAGACCATCTCCAACGGTGAACCAAACCTGACATCAAATTTAAAATTTGGTAAAAAAGCCACTTTTTTAAGCTCCAACGGTTTCACCAAATCGATATCAAATCCAGAATTCAGCAAAAATGGTACCAAACTGAGTGCAGGCGAAGCATTTCACCAAAGCACTGTTCCTAACCGTTGGGATGAGAGGAACGGGTCGACCATCCGGTTGACCAACCGGTTAACCAACCGGTCGCCCCGGAGAAAGTTCAGACAGTTCACAAAAAAGTTCAAACCATTAAAAAAAAAAAAAAAAAAAATTTTTGCCTAGGTGGTCGACCACCCGGTCGACCACCAAAAGTTCAAAAAATTCAAAAAAAAAGGTTCAAACAGGTAAAAAAAAAATTTTTGCCGTTACTGGTTGACCAACCGGTTGCCCAGCGCAAATTTGATGAAACGGATTTGATGTTGAACCGTTGGAGCGCGAAGTATCAAATTAAGGAAATGACCCATTTTCGACTCAGATTTGGTGAAACATTTGCTACACCGTTGGAGATGCTCTTAGGCGAGCTCAAATTCAATATCAAATTATTATTATTATTTTATTTTATTTATTTATTTTTATTTATTTTTATCAACGTGGGATTCTTTATCAACCGTAGGTAGAAATTCCCAAAAACCAGTTTAGATCTATACTCTGCGAAGTACAGAATCAAACCTCTCTTCCCGGCTCCTTCCGTTCCATTTCTGCCCCTGCATCGCACATTCGCACTGCCATCACACCCCCCTATACTCGACAGATCGAACAATAACGCTCTCTCTCTCATCGGAGCTCCAGAGATTCTGAGTGGCTCTTCGAAGAAGATGTTGAAATTCTTGAAGGGCGTTGTTGCCGGATCTGGTTCGGGACCCAATAACCTACCCTACAACATCGGAGAGCCTTACTCCTCTGCTTGGGGCTCTTGGACTCACTGTCGCGGCACCTCCAAGGTACAATTCTCTCTATATCGTTCTCGTTTTTGGTGTCTTTACCTCTCATACTCGCGTAACTAGGGTTGATCTCTTTCAACTTCGTAGAATCAATGGACTTCAAGTTCTTTTCGCGCTTTAATTCTGTGAAACGGTGTCTATTCTCGAGTTTAATCGTCAATTTTAGATCAGATTAGTATGCTGTTTTAATTATGGCTACGTTGATGTTGATTAGTGGAATTCGTCTGGAATCTGTATTCTAATTGAAAGATATAAATTATGGAATTTTAACTCTCTCTTTTTTCTTTTTCTTTTTTTAATTTCTTTTTGTTTGTTGATAAGCTATAAGATCTAGTCATGATTGCAAAAGGTACAAGTGATAGTGTCAAAGATCTTAGCTTGTTGTTTAGATTTGGACTTCATGACTCATGCGTATAGCTGACAAACAAAGTTTGTTTGCAAAGATTTAAAATGTGTCAAATATTCTTTTTGAATTTGCTAATTTGGAGGATTCATGCTGTCTGAGTTTTTCATTTTTTATTTTTAGAATCTCTCTCTTTCCAAAACTTTTTTCCGTGTAAATTTGATAATTTGGAGCATTGTGATCGCCTCTTGATTTGCTATTTGGTATATTTGTTTTACACTCCTTGACTTCCTCAAAGATGCATTTTGCCCCATGTTGCTTTTTATAAGAAAACAGATTCTATCTACTTGTTACTTTTATGTTATTAGTTGGATTTTGCTTGCTATGGAGAGAGTCTGCGGCAACGTTCCTTCCTTCTTTCAACCTATTCTGTGAAAGTTTAGCCTTCTCATGTTTCTGTCTCTATCTCCAGCCCTCTATGCCCTTCTATCTATTTCCAATTTTATTGCATATGAATATACATAATCTAACATAGTAGAGAAGCTTGTTTCCAAACACACTAGTGTTATGGGGGCAAATTATGATCAGGGAGCAATTTTTACATTTTGAGTTTATAATGGTCATGGTTTTTCCAAACTTTTTCTCTTTAGTTCACTGGAATGGAATGAGATGGAATGCAATGGCATTCTGTAGTCTATCCTATGGAATGATCATTTCGTTACAATGGGTAATGATGATACTATCTGCAATGTATTTATCACTATTTTTTTAGTCAACCAAACATAGTAATGAACATAGAATAATCATTTCATTTCACAGTATTCCGGTGAACCAAATACTACCCAAGTTGAATGGTGAATGACTAACCTTGCTACATAACATTATCTTTCACTTGTTTTGTGAACAACAAAATTTTAAAGAAACGTAGAAGATTAGGTGGGAGGCATTCCTACCAAACATTCATGCTCATAATAGCATTGAAACACACATTTCTTAACTTTCCTGGGGCTAGCATTTCACATATCGACCAGTTGCTTTAGTGAATTGTCCCTCTACGACACATATGATTGTTGTTTTTTTTTTGCATAAGAGCTTAAGCTAAAAATTCATCATCTGTATGGGGTTTCAAAGAAGAATGTAGTTATCCTCCAATTTTTGATGCAACATTATTATTAGGTTTTCTTGAAATGCCAAGGAAACAATATTATTATTAGGGCTGTGCAAAATACCTCCAAATTCTATAAAACTCTATCTATCCGTATCAATCCGCACCGCTCTATCTGCTAACCGCGGATTAAACTTTAAAATTTATAATTTGCCTTCAAACTGCTATGCTCTGCTATAGTTAATAAACCAAACCAAACCAAACCAAGCCAAGCCAAGCCTTAAGTCCCATCAAATGGGGTCGGCTACATGAATCTTTCTTCTCTACGCGGTCCTATCAAATGCCATCTCGTTAGTCAAATTAAGTAAATCCATATCTCTATTTACAACGTTAGCCAACGTTAATTTAGGCCTACCTTGTTCCCTGACACTCCCTTCTACCGTTACAGTATTGCATCTCTTTACTACTACTGTTGTTGGTTTCGTTGAATGTGACCAAATCATCTCAATCGATTCTCTCTCAACTTATCTTCTATCGGTGCTACTCCTACCCATTCCTGAATACACTCATTTCTAATTCTGTCTTGTCTAGTCTTGCCACAAATTCACCTTAGCATCCTCATCTCAGCCACACTCATTTTATCTACATGTTGTTTCTTAGTTGCCCAACACTCCGTCCCATATAACATCGCTGGTCTAATAGCCATTCTATAGAACTTACCTTTTAGTCTAGTGGGTATTCGTTTATTGCACAGTACCCCAGACGCACTTCTCCATTTACATCATCTTGCCTTAATCCTATGGGCCACATTTACATCAATCTTCCCCGCTGTTGTGATAATCGATCCTAAATAATGAAAATGTTCACTCCTAGGCAATTCTTGGTTCTCAATCTTCACTTCTCCTCTGCTTTTATTGTTACTATTACTAAATTTACACTCCATGTACTCTGTCTTATTTCTGCTTATCCGGAAACCTTTAGATTCAAGAGCTTTTCTCCAAATCTCCAACTTTGTATTAACTCCTTCTCTAGTCTCATCTACTAGCATGATATTGTCTGTAAAAAGCATACACCATGGCATGTCATCCTGAATATTTCTCGTTAACTCATCTATAACTAAAGCAAAAAGATAAGGGCTTAATGTAGATCCTTGGTGTAACCCAACAGTGATAGAAAATTCATTTGTCTCTCCAGCAGGCGATCTAATAGTGGTCACCACCTCTTCATACATGTCCCTAATCACATTAATGTAACCTTTTGTCACCCCTTTCTTCTCTAACACCCACCATATTATATCTTGGGGCACTCTATCATATGCTTTCTCAAGGTCGATAAACACCATATGAATGTCTCTTTTCTTTTCTCTATTCTTTTCTATTACTCTCCTCAAAAGATAAATTGCTTCTATTGTTGACCTGCCGGGCATAAACCCAAATTGATTCTCTGACACCTCTGTTATATCTCGCAATCGGCGTTCCATTACCCTCTCCCACACTTTCATCATACGGCACATTAGCGTGATTCCTCTATAGTTGTTGCAATTCTGGACATCTCCTTTATTCTTATATATTAGTACTAAAATATTCTTCCTCCACTCATTTGGCATGTTCCTAACCAACAAAATTTTACTAAATAACCTAGTCAACCAAGCAACCCCTTTTTTACCCAAGCACTTCCAAGCTTCAATAGGGATATCATTGGGTCCTAAAGCCTTATTTGATTTCATCTTCTTAAGTGCAATCTCCACTTCAAAGTTTCTAATCCTGCGATAAAACTTATAGTCTTGATTTATTGTATTACTAGCCATTTCTTCCCCTATTGCCGTACCTCCATGTTCCTCATTTAATAGTTTCTCAAAATAGTTCTTCCATCTTTTCTTAATCTCTTCATCCTTCACCAATACTTTAGAATCCTCACTCTTGATGCACTTGACTTGATTAAAATCTCTTGTTTTTCTCTCCCGTATCTTAGCAAGTTTGTATACCCTCTTCTCTTCTTCTTTACTATATTCTCTAGTGTATAGGTCATCATAAGTTTTCAACTTAGCCTCTCTCACTACTTTTTTGACCTCCTTATTAGCCAATTTATAGCTCTTAAGGTTTTTCTCAGTTCTATCCTTCTGCCACTTTTTAAAGCACTCTTTCTTTGCCTTAATTACCGCTTGAACCTCTTCCGTCCACCACCAAGTTTCCCTAATGCTGGGTCCCGTCCCTTTCGACTCTCCAAGCACTTCTCTTGAGATTCTCCTCATACAATTGGCCATCGAGTTCCACATAGTGTTAACATCATCTTCCAAGTCCTAAGTAACTTCCTTATCCATTCTATTCTTAAATATTTCTAGTTTATCTCATTTTAGGTCCCACCATCTCGTCCTATGGAGCCCACCATCCTTCCTAATTTGGTATTGCCCTCTAAAACATAAATCTAGTACCAAAATTCTATGTTGAAAGGTTAGACTCTCTCCAGGAATCAACTTACAATCATTGCATTTTAGGCGGACCACTTTTCTCACTAAGAAGTAATCTATTTGGCTATTAACTGACCCCCTCTTAAAAGTTATCAAATGATCCTTCCTCTTCTTATACATTGTATTGGCCACCACCAGGTCAGAAGCCAACGCAAAATCTAAGATACCCTCTCCAGCTTCATTTCTGTCACCAAAACTGTATCCACCATGCACCATTTCATAGCCTAGTTTATCTATGCCTACATGGCCATTAAAATCTCCACCTATAATCAGGTTCTCTCCTACGGGCATCTCTTGTAAGATCTTATCCATTTGCTCCCAAAAATCCTTCTTAGTCTGATTATCTAATCTTACTTGAGGGGCGTATGCACTAATAACGTTCACTATATTCCCTCCAATAACTAGTTTAAGTAACATAATCCTATCCCCTTTCCTAATGACCGCCACTACATTCTCCACCAGACCCTCGGCAATTATGATTCCTACTCCATTCCTGCGTCTGTCCTTACCATTATAATACAGTTTAAAATCGGTATCCTCAATTTCCCTAGCTTTCTCACCCGTCCACTTAGTTTCTTATACGCAAACTATACTAACTCTCCTTCTAATCATAATATCTACCAATTCCATCGTCTTACCGGTTAAGGTTCCTATATTCTAAGTGGCTACCCTAATATCTACAGTTTAAAATTGGTCCCTGACTTTTTAATTATGACACATTTGACCATGAATTTTGAATCTTATTCCAAGTAAGGACAATTGAAAATATCATTAGATTTTTCAAGGTTAAAATCGTCAATTTGATAAAATATAAACTAATTTGATAAAAAAATAAATGTCAAAAAAATATTTTTAATTTTTTAAAAATTATTTCTATCCGCCAATGATAAAATTATGTAAAATTAATAAAAATTACATGATTAATTTTTTAAAATTAATTTTACATGATCATCATCCAGGCACATAATAAAAATTAATTTGGTAAAAAAAATAAATAAATGTTTAAAAGATTTATCAATTTTATATAATTTTATTTTTAATAGGTAGAAATAATTTTTAAAAATTCAAAAATATTTGTTTGGCAT